AGCGCCAATCATTAATTGCCAACCACACCGGCGCCAATTCTAGCACTGTGTCGCATAGGTAAGCCCAACCGCGCGCCATTGTATCTAGACACGCACGAGCCACATGCAAATGACAACCACCACATTCTGTGTTCCTGGATCGAAGATAAGCGCTGTGGCTCTGGAATATATTATTGATGGAAAGTCCGACGTGCGATTTTTACGCTTACGACCAAGGCGTGTTGTGGTGTTGTTGTCGACTACTGCGCAAATTTTAATTAATTCATTTGATTTGCTCGTTTGATTTATCAACTCATTTGAAAATAATACGTTTCTCCATCGATTTAATAATACATTTGTTGTTTTTGAGATCAAAACAAGAAATGCATTTGAATATATCAGATGATGAATAATCATTCGTGCAGAAAGACAAATGACACACGGTACATACATTCCAAAATAATTGGCGCCGACGTAGCTGGTACAGCTAAAAATTAAACGCAAATGCGATAATCATTTTTTAGGCGAACTTCTTTCCTTTCGGCTTCTGTCCTCTCCGAGTAAATTACCCTAGATACTTATATAGTCGTACTTCAGAATGAGCAGGAATCTTTTATGTAGCACGGAACAGCGACTGCAAGTTGCGCGCAGATGAGTCAAGATCTTGAGAAAAATCGAGTAAGAGAGTATTTTGCATTGAATGCTTTCTTAGGACGAGGAATGCTTCTTCAGGGTCTTTCCGAAATCGACACGAGCACGCGTCTAAAATTACCCCGTGTGCTCATGAGAAGACGTATGTTTACATAGGAGATGACGATTGACAGGATATTTGGAGAAGATAGATTTTCTTCGAGAGAGGGTATTTTTGAGTTGCTTAGAGTTTTCATGCAGGATATAGTTGTAAGTATATTGGCTTTAAGAGATAGCTATATTTTTTTACCGTAGTAAGGTAGAAGGTACAAATATGAAACGGTTGAATCGTTGTAATTGTGCGATTTCCAACAGAGCACATGAGTACCTAGAGAATAAAATCGTAAGTGCTATTGCATCACAATTATATCACTATTGTAAAATATTTAAAAGGTGCGTATGTATAAGCCATTGAAAATGTTTGATGCATGATAATGAGTCCCTCTGACGTGCGCAAAAGTCAACTACAAAACAGTGACGCGATCCATTTAAACTTTGTATTTGTACACTTCGCTCAACATTGCAAAATAATATCTTTGAATTGGAACTTATTGATTTTTATCGTTACTTCAATGTATACGACTTTTTTCGCGCTTCATTGAAATCCCATAACAAAGTGATCATCACCTCTGACGGCGATCGAGCGCGAGGCCGAAAAAAGGAAAAAAAGCGTAGAATGTGTTAGAACGTGAGAAGCCTCTTGAATGACAAAATCGACAAAAATAGTGCAGGGACAGTCAACGCTTTATAGAAAGTGCAAGACGCTTTGCAGACATCCGTTAGATCACGCTTTATTGCCTACAGTGATAATTGCGACAGCTGCTACTGCTGCCGCTGCTGCACTACCGCAGCTCGATTTAATAGGTGCGCGAGCGACACACGGCGGCAGAAGAATACATACGTACGAGTGTTGAACCTGTCTCTTTCTTGGTCGTTGCATTGATGCACTAGTAGAGTGAGATGGGCGCGCCGTAGATCCGATGCCGGAAACTTGGCATTGTGAAATAAAATGCATCTTGTTGTTGACAGCAACTTACTCATGGCATGATTCACGGTGATCTGTCATTGTAAGCATCATTCTTATACGAGGCTGACTAAAACTTGTCGCGCGGAGCAACCGTTTATCGAATCATCGCGACAGCAGCTAGCAGTTATAGCTATGAAAATCAACACGCAGACAGAGAAAAACGACGAGAAAGGAATCCTCGACAGCCGTTACCGTTTATGATAGATAAGCATGCCTGTAGCCGAAGCGATTTTTCCACCCAATTGTTCATGCTGCAGAGAGCATCCATCTGAGGCGTATGCGTATAAACGCTTTATCGAATAAAATGTCATAGCTGTCGTCGATTCGCGAGCTATTCGCTTTAATCTGTAAAGGATGACAAATCCGAAGATAGCGTTTGCGCGGCTATTTATTACGATTGCAACTGCGCGCACGTGTGCGATGTGTGTTTCGATAAATTACCGCGTCGCACGAGCAACCTGTTCGTAGGGCTGCGTATACTACCTATTACTACTACCTACGGCATTGAGAGTAGAAAAAAGAGGCTTCATCTTGCATAAATGCGGATTGCATAGCGGGACATCGTTCGCTCGCGATTAATTCATGTACGCGTTTCCACGGCTACGGCGTCTAAGTGCGAGACATTTCCTTTCATATCTTATTTATCGATATATTGCCAGTTGCAACTGAGACATGCACCTATACACTGTTTCCATTTATTTCAAGAAGGGATTACTTTGTCGGATTTTTTTTAACAATCAAGATTTCAGCTGATCTTACTATTTAATGTATCAAATAAAATATAATACCTTAATTACAACTGCCGAACTTTTCATCTAAACAATGATTGATGGTAGTCAAGCTACTTGCTGCCATGGTGGACATAAAGTTTAATTCTTTAGTATCGATCTACACCGTATTAATCTTGTATACCTGAAATTTCGCCCAATCATCATACATAATAACTAAGATTTTTATGAGATACACCCTAACATTACAAGTACAAAAATAAACCATTTGAGCCTCATTAACGCGCACGCACGTACAGACGTCGCTATATAACACCTGAAATGAAAAAAATAAAAATTAAAGAACGAATATTAAAAAAGGCGCTAAATACATCAAAAACGCGTCCAAAACTTACCTGGCGATGTATATTGTGATGCGAGAGCTTGCATCGTTTATCAAAAGACGATATGTGCCTACCTTTTGATTCAAGCAAATTGAAAGTGTGTGGGCAAAATAAATTTCTATATGGAATGATAAAATTTTATGATCGAACGGAAAAAAGCCAAGTGAAAACGTAAGGAAAATGCGCAAACTAGAAAAGGACGAGACGGCAAAGAGGAATCAGTACGTGTAAATGGTGAGAGAGTAGAAGCGGATAGGGGTCTCGTAAATCAACGCTTGCCGGCACAGCATCCACGCATTGCTTTCATTATCGCGCCTTTTCGCGTGCTGCCTAGTAAACAATGGCTCCGCAACAGAAACCATCAGTCCCGCATCGATGATAAGCCCTTTCGCACGTTGCACGACTCTGCGTGCGTGTCTCACGAGCGAGACTCGTCAAAGAAGAGACGGTCAACTCTATACGCGCTTGCCGGAAATTCTCATTGATTTTTTTCATTTTCACTGGCATCCGCTCTTCGACGAAAACGTCCCTGAGGAAATCGCAATTTATCGATGCTTTGGATGATCTTGCAGCAATTTACGTGCATTACTGATGTATACGTGAGATGAATCGTACCTACTGTTTATCCGCGGTTCGCCATTCTCTCGCGATGCTTTAATATTGCATTTAATATTTTCATTTGTTAGCCATTTTTAAAATTGTGCAAACAAGGCACATTCCAGACTATGACGATCAACTTTTCAGGGGTAGGTTTCAGATTTTCTTGAAACTTGGTCTACGTATTGTTTATATGGTAGTGTATTTAAGTATGGATTATTCGATCATTATAATAATTATATCAAAAGTCATAAACAATTGAACATTTTTGACGAAAAATTTTCAAAAATTTATATCTCCGCAACCATTAAAGTTATCGAAACGAATTTTTTTTTATATTACGCATAAAAGGGTATACTTTAATGATATTGTTATATGTCGGACCGTCGAACGTCAAGAAAAGAAGATCAGAAGGTTGCCAAGCAGCTGTTGTTGTTGTCGTAAAGTTAGTTAGTTGTCGGATAGCCTTAAATCGTGTCGCTAGGGTTATGTAGTAAATAAAGTTACATCCTTTTTTTATAATTATTTCGTGTTATTTCTTATACGGGAGTTGGTGATCGTTACAATATTATGCGAACAATACTTTAGTATCAATTTTTCCAAAAGTTATTAACATTTTTTTTAAACAATTGCCCATATCTCAAAAAGTGTTATTTTTATTTTAAAAATTCTTTTTTTATTGCACTCCTTGACATTTTATCTTTAAGAATCCGTTTTAAAATTCATCGAGCGATCATTAGATGCGACACAGTGAGCGATAATAGTGAACGCTCACAGGCCCTACGACGCCGATAAGTCGGTAAGTTTGATAGCAGCGCCGATGCGTGGCCGACAAGCGTCGTAAGGCCTGTCAGCGTCCACTATTACCGTTCACTATGTTGCATCTAATGATCGCTGGATGAATTTTAAAACGGAATCTTAAAAAAAAATCTCAAGGAATTCAATAAAAAAATCATTTTTAAAATAAAAATAACACTTTTTGAGATATGGGTAATTGTTTAAAAAAATGTTAATAATTTTTGGAAAAATTGATATTAAAGTATTGTTCACTCAATATTTTCAAAGTACACCCTTTTATGCTTAATTTGAAAAACATTCGCTTCAATAACTTAAATGGTTGCGGAGATATAAATTTTTGAAAATTTTTCGTCAAAAATTTTCAATTGTTTATAACTTTTGATATAATTATTATAATGATCTAATAATCCACACTTAAATACACTACCATATAAACAATACGCAAACCAAGTTTCAAGAAAATCTGAAACCTACCCCTGACAAGTTGATCGTCATAGTCTGAAATGTGCCACAAGTCGCTTAATATTTTCATTGTCTACTGATTCTAAGAACAGTTTCGTTTGGAATATAATGTATTAAAATACATATAGATACATATATGAAGAGTTAAGGATGTTTAAAATGCCTAGCATCCCTTAAACTACTTAGTTGTTCTGCAATTCTTAATATATTTAGTCTTCTGTATGTTACTTGCTTAAAGAAAATCAACAACATATTTCAATATAAACATTATTTCAGACGAATATTGATTCACTAAATAAAATGATAAAAATAATAAGAAAGACAGAATGGTTTGTAGTTAACAAACTGATTTTATTGCATCAAGTGAAATACTTTAAACTGTTAAACAACTAATGATATATATTTACAGAAATTTATCAACACATTCGTCTTCAACGTAACCATTGGATAGCGTTCGTGTTATTTAGTAATAGACAGCGGGGACGCCGGAATAGTAAGGAGCGTAAGCGCTGTAAGCCGAATAAGCGTATGGGACACCAGCGTAGGCGACGGGAGCAGCGGCGGTATAGGTGGCAGCAACTGGGACGGCAGCAGCGGCAACGGGAGCAGTATAGGTGCTGTACACGAAGCCACGTTTGTTGCGGCCACTTGTTGCCTCGTTCACTGGTACCACGTTCTCCGGGTTCAGTTCCTGCTTTGCCTCTTCTGCGCTGGGAGCTGCGTTGGCGAGAGCCACGAGGGCAACAAGAAGGATTCCCTGTATAAAAAATTATTTTTATTTTGTTTAGTTTTTTAAAAGTATTTTTATTATTTTCCATTATATTTTCAGCTTACAATGATAGTTAGGTAAGTTCACTTATTTATTTGACTAGCGTTATTTAGCGCGCTTTACTCGCACTTTTTTTGTTTTTCTGTTATTTATTACCTTATTTGTATCGTACAATCGTACATTTATTCAATAGCTGCGGTTTTCTACGGCCTCAGTATAATATCAGTATTAGTAATAAATTTCAATATCCTATGTTCCTTTGTTGCCTCGTTCAAAACACCGTCAATATTTTTTATTCTGATTAGTTTCCGTTTCTCACATACAATGTAAAAAATTCTTACTTTACGATGTAAAATATAAAAATGTCAGTCCCTCCGTTTGATCCTAGGTACTTATTCTCTCTTTCAATCACATTTTAAGATAACAACATTAATTTGACAAATAGTACTTAAATTATCGATTCTTATTAATTATTCCAGCGTAATTTGAAAAGATAACTAGTTATTTTCTAAAAAGATTTATCGGCGGCATATTTCCATTTCTGTAAATTATTATCCATATTAATTATTCATAAATTTAATTTTCTGCTGAATAAAATAGAAATCTTGATAGAAATTTTAATAGAAATCTCACACTTTTGGATATGTAATGCAGCTATTTTAAAATATAGGAAAATTCAAAATTTCGCATTCTCTTTTCGCATCAATCAATCACAACGCTGGATGTCGTCAACTCGTCATTTTCTAAAAATAGGAGTAAAAATAACCATTTTTCAAATTTTCAACTCTATGAAAGCAAGATGAAGGGGTTTCAATGAAAAAGTTTTCGAGATCATTGAGTTTGAATGCTGCCTTTTGCAAAAGTACGATATTCACTGATCACTTTTTGTGAATTTAAATATCATAACGTGATCTTATCGAATAATCAATAGCAAACAATATAAAACTACTAACATTCTAAGATATTATTTTGTTACTGACTGTTATTCGGTTGGAAAACATATAACGAGAGGTACATTTCTTTGAAGATAAATATTCTACGTGTAAAATTAACATTCAGTGTATTTTTTTATCATGAAATTACGTATACAATTTTTGAACGTAAGAATAATTGTATTTAAAATTTGTCGAAGAATAAATTAATGCAATTTTGTTTTCTCGTCTCATAATTATATTTAATTGTTTTTTTACATTCAAAACTGAAAAGTATAAATAGTTGATAATCTTACATAACCAGAGCGAATGATTTAATATGGATAGAAATATTCGGCAACTGTCGCAATAAAAATTTATAAATATAAAGATTGTAGTTAGCTTGCTCAAAGTTGACTATAATAGGTGCAAGAGATCACGCTCTGAATATAAATGATGTATTTTTTACAGTCATCATAAACTTCAAATTTCATAATACTTATTTCATACTCTGAATGCATCGAACCGCATTGCCTAGCGTATGTAACAAGTTACAAAAAGCTAAGTTACATAATCTATTATTTATGAGTTTGGTAATTTATGTGGGCTGTATCAAGCTGTGATGTTATGAAACTACTATTAGAAGAAAAACCATGAAAATTGTAAGAAAACGAAAGATTACAAAAGCATGCAAGAATAACTTTAGAAGTTTCGTATTGTAGAAAAGTGTTAATTTTTTAATACCAATTTGATTAAAGTGTAAATGGATACTTATAATCGATTAGCTATGCTTCTATAATTACAGTACACTTGAAACGAGTTCTTTTTATTACTAAAATAATGAAATTCCGATCACAAAAGATATACAAAAAAGTACTCACAATGAAGAATTTCATGTTGAATGTATTGATAGGTTTAGTTTGCTGGAGCTAGAAGAAGTACGCTTGAGCTGTGAGAGCTGAATGACGTCTTAGTCAGTGCTCGGAGTGTCTTTTATACTCGAAAACGTTCGGGAGCTCCTGGTGTCCATTTATTATCATTGACCGTGCGACGGGCGTTCGTGCGAGGACAGTTGTTTGGTAAGACTATAAGGAGCACGGGGGGATTGGGTAAAACCGATCGTCTCCTGTACGTGATCGTATTCGAGGCCTTGGATGTCGGCCAAGAATGGTCGAAACTTCACTTAATGGTATGCAGAACGCGTCACGGATCTGCCACTGTCAAACTGTTTTCATGATAACTTGGCGTCTACGACGTTAGACGTTTTAATCGATGCCTTGACATTCATCATGTACTCTATAGAAAAGTGTTAGCCACATCAGGAAATGTCATGTTTTTATTCTTTTGCTTTCATTCAAATTAAATTTTACCGGTCAGCCCGTTCAATCTGAATAGTTTTTTCAACTATCCATATAAGTTTTTACAAAATGCAGAAATATTTTTATAGCGCAAACTATTCATAACCTTAATATGAGATTATGATTGTCTAAATAAGCGATAGAAAAAAAGTTCTCTTCATTGTTTATTTAATAAACAAGCGTATGTAAACTTGCTAAGTCATTCACTAACAGATTACTTATGTCATAGCACAATTCTATAAGTTAAACTTATGTATTCTTTTCCTACAATGAAAAAAGTGTTTTAATATTTACAAGTAGTGACGCTGGACGTGCTTCGTAAGCTCATATCTTCTTTTTCATTTCTTGTTATATTGATTACAATATTTAACACAAATTTTTTTTTTTCAAAGGTGAATTTTTTAATTTTTTACATATACGACAGTAAAAAAAATATACTACAGTAAAAAAATACTTATAGTAAAATACTTCCACGTTTTCAAATTGATTCAAAACTGCAATAAATAATCTTTTAGTTCTTCTTAACTATACGGATCAAATTACTGTTAAACGTATGTTTTACTCTTTGAATAAATATTTCGACATTACAACATTTATTTCAATCGAACATTCAAAAACCAAATTATGGATTAGTAATAGAAAATAATCAGAATAATTCCAAAGCATAACCTCATGTTTCTACTAATTAACAATTTAGAATATGTTTCACATCTTTTAAATCGTTTTACAAAATTAAAGTTAAAACAATAACATTGCAGCCTATTATTTACTTTCATTATTTTTTAAATGACCCGTATCAATTATGATAAATTAAATTTTTATTCAACAAAAAAACTCGAAACCATCCATGTACGCTTATTTGCCGCCATATAGTAATATATCACATGATCATATCTCAGCCAGTCAATTCACAAATAAAATGCTTTAACATGGTATCCATCACTTTTTTTATAACGGGGAAAAGAGAATCCTGTCATTTTTCTTCGATATAATAGTTTATGCTTTTACGTATTTCATCAAAATTTTTTTCTTCTTACTTGAAAAATGGCTACATCTTGTTTACATATGATTAGTCTACTTTAAATATTATGGAGTGGTGATAAATAATGAATTAGGAGAATTTTATGTTTGGAGGGTATTTCAATATGAAATTCAATCTCAGAAAATGTTTTGGAAGCTTCGTAATTACTTTAATAAGTTAAAAGAATTTCGAAAAGACATTGTAAATCTCACATCTCCTCATCAATTCTAAATTACTAAAAGATTCGATAGGGAAAATATTTGACAGACTTATCGACTTTTTTAAGACATTTTTTCAATATTTGCAAATTTGACTCTTAATGTTTTATGGATATTATTTTATTTATAACTAGAAATATATTATTAAATTGAATAATCGGCAAATTATTACTATAAGGTTTAATAAATTGAACAATATATTGTTATTTAAGAGTTGAAAATGTATTTTGCACTAAAATCTTGCATTAATTAAATTATAAAGCCATACCTTATTGGAATAGCGGAAACAAGCTATTTCAGTTCGCTGAGAAAAGTCTCGTTGTTATGTTAAGTATTTGATTTCATTAGCTTTATTTTCTGTGGTATTCTTATAATACGAAATAAAAAATGCTATTCCCATAATATGTTATACATAAAAGTAGGATGATAGTGTGGAACGAATATTCTGTAGAGTAGGCATAGGGTATCGTGAAAGGGCAAATTCTAGTTTTTTTGTTGTTTCTTCGGTGGCGGTATCAACAACTGGAACAACAGCTATTGTAATAGCATTGGTACGCAAAGTGAATCCATACTTGCCCCTGACATTGAAAGGACTATTTGACATTAATGTTGGTATAGTCCCAGGTTTGTTTATGTCTTTAGTAGAAATAATGGCGATGAAGATGGCACGAACAGTTTCCTGATCATCGTTAGTCAAGTTTTGTCGTTTTCAATTGAGCTAAAATATATCATTCAATTTAATTATAAATGCAATGTTGTGATTAGTTTATATTAATCTTCAATGTTATGTTATAGAAAAATTGAAAGAAACTTTCCGTATCCATTACGATACTCAATGAACACTAATAGTTCATTATTTGTTTTGAAGGAAAATATAGCAAATACTCGTACTTACAGAAATACATTTTACCCACAGAAATTTATTTTGAAAAAATTGATGTCTTAACTTAGTGGACATAACAAGTGTTGAGCCGTAAAAACTGAATATTACTCTTAACCATACAGTAGGTCTCAAGATCAAGGACTTTATTACTTTATTCGAATACATAATGGTCACAAAATGAGGCAATAATAGTCAGGTAACATTGATTTTTTCATGAGTTAGTTCTAATTAGATGTTATTTATTATTTAATTCAAATTAAAAAGTGATTTCAAACCAGAACGAAAATCCCATTGTAGACATTTTACTTACGTCTAAACATCAACTAGCTGTCATAATTAAAATATATTTTACAAACTATAGTTTATAAATATATATTTATTCAATCTTAACAATTTGAGTTTCATATTTCGTCTATAAGATAAATCATATAACAATAACACGTGCAATCTCATCATATTTCTAAATGTTCCTATTTATTCATATCATATTCTTTATTATTTTTCCATATTTTATTATTTTTTGATAGTTGATAAAAAATGTTTAAGTATTCGTTTCGATAATCAATTCGATTTTCTTAATGCAGAACAAAATAAAATATGTACTATTTTATGACGTGAAAAGATATTTTATAAAGATATATTATAAAGATGGTAATTTTGAACTTGACGCGAATCATGATTTCTATTTTCTATGCTTTTTCATATACTATATTCCAACATTTTCAAAAAGGATGAAAAAACTTCCAACAGAGTTAATTAAATATCTTTTATTTTACTATTTCCTATTTAAGTTTTTATTTCGGCTTCAAACGAAAATAAAATTATTAGTATATTATTTCACAATCACCTTATGTAAGTCTATTAATAAAAATGAAAGAAAAACTAATAATATCGTATTGAAAATCAATTGTTTTAATGTACTATGTCTAAATAAATCACAATTTTTTAATATCAACATACATACTTAGAATTAATTTACAGTTCTGATTAACTGATAAATAATTCCTTCCTTATAAATATCTGATCGCAGGAACATGGGGAGCGTAAGCACCATAAACCGCATAGCGCAGGGCACCGTATGGGTAACCAATACGAGTAGCGTAGGCAACGGGAGCGGTAACAATAGGAGCAGTGTAAGCACCGTAAAATAGGCTACGCCTATCACGGGTGTTTGTTTCTGATTCACCTTCAGTCACTGATATGGCACTTTCTGGGTCAATTTCTTTCTTTGACTTTTCTGCCTTGGCGAGAGCCACAAGGGTTACAAGGAGAATTACCTACAAAGAATTCATTGTTTACTTTTAGGTAGAAAAGAAGACTTAATATAATAGGTCAAAAATTTATTGCATAATACGGTACAGCATTACATGACTAATAGTAACGATAATTAAAAATTCCTTTTGGTGAAATATTAATAAATTATATTGTTTTTAAATACTTACAGAAAAGAATTTCATGTTAAATAATTGGATTGATGAACTTATTGTAGTTGTAAGGACTGCTGTTGAGCTGTGAAAGCTAACTGATAATCTCAACGATTCATGAAGTCTCTTTTATACTCAGAACCATGGCCTGTTTTCCTACGTGCTTGCATTACCATTGAGTATGCGATGAACATTCGCGCAAGACCAATTATTTGGTAACAGTGCAATGCAGACATAAGAGCATCAATCGATCGTAACTCAATATCCTGTTTATCAGTTTGCTAATATAAATATATTTGTTTCATATTCTGTTAAAACATCTATTAATCGGAGTAAGGAGTGAAATTTTAGTCGAAACTTAACTGATCGTAGAGATCTGGACATATGTTTTCCATGTTATCTTTCGATACATTAAATTTCATAATTTAATCTAATTAAACAATTCATTATAAAACATAGTGAATTGCTAATTATATTTGATATTGATATATTTGGAATTGAAATAAACAGTAAGGGAACAATTCTGAGCTTGGGTGCCAACTAAACGAGTTTATATATTTTTATTTATTAACCAACCAAATTTTGTTATCCAATAACCTTGCAGAGGTATCCTTACAAGGAACCTACCCCCCCTCCCTTCAACTCAACCTTACCGATTTCAATAATAATTTGATATGTCATAGATCATGGACATACGTGTTTTTTTTATCGATGGAAAAACATTTTTAGGCGGTAAAAACTGCCCTCAAAGTTCATTCCTAAAAATAGATTTTCCAATGTATCTCAGTTTCTAATTGATATTTTAAGATGAAACACATTTCATATTATTTCTCATGTGAATATGAAACTAGTGCATACAATTTCGACCATAAGGACCCTTATTTTTTTTATTTAAAATTTTACTCCTCCAAATGTTTCTCCGCCAAAAAAAACACATATATCTCATTATTTTATGAACTATAACATATCAAAAGATTATTGAAATCGGTGAGGTCGAGTTGAAATCAGGGACTCCCTTGTGTTAGATACCTGTACTCAAGACGGTTTACATAACTTGAAAGAACATAGAAAATTAAATAATAGAACAATAC